GTACAAAGTAAACAACTTACCTTCTGAAATATGGTGTATTGATTATTGTAGCTAGTGGAGTAGAGTTGTATCTGCCCGTCGCGGCGCCAACCGAGGCACAAAAAAGGGACGTCTCGATTAACTGGATGCGTTTTGTTCGCTGTCTCGATAGAAAGTGTAGTTCTTCGTATAAAATAGCCAGAAACTGTCTGGCCATACTTCTAGGTGGTCCGTAGGGCAAGTGAGTCAAGTGCTTACCCATAAATCAACTCTATTGTATGGCGCTTTTGAATGCCGATAATTTAACTAAATGGCCACAGAAATTTGATATTTTACAGCGATTTTTGTGTTTGCGACGTAATTTCCAAATAACAAAAGTCAGATTCTTTGAACTTAAAAACAGACTACGTGTTTAAGTCAGTTTAACAAAGAGATTTTACTGAATAGATGAAAATATATTTTTTTAAGTAAATAGTTAGAATATACCATTAAATAGATCATATTATAGTACATTAAAAAAATATTAAATGTAAAATATGAAAATAAATACTAAATACTTTCCCAAACAATAGTTATTATTTATTTATTTATTTAAAACCCTAAATATTAACCCTATATTGCATGAATTTTAAATATGCGAACTAAAAATCTTTTTTTCATTGTATATGGCTTTAATTATGAACATAAATGTTCCCTAATTTAATTTTTGAGTCGGCACCTTTTTTTTGGAAAATACGGAATGTGTACTGTAAGCAACAGTATGCAATTAAACTACATTTAGTGAAATAAAAATTTATTATGTGAAAACTTTATTCGGTATGAAAATTCTTAAAACAATTAGAAGTTGTAGTAAAACAAAGAAATATTTTAAACTTTTGGCATTGAACTTTGTGAGTTTCTTTACAATTAGGATATTTGCATCTTCCTTTCTGTTCAAAATATATAGGCCAATGACCCATTCCATCTTGTCTAACGTCTGCACAGGGAATGGGTGCTGTTGCATGGTATTTCGTTTTCTTTTCCTCATATGCTGTGGATACATTTGAACTAGATGGACGCCCTCTTTTATAACCATTTACTTTATTTTTCATACACAGAGTTTGTGCAATTTCTGCCTTAAATTCCAATAGCGGTGATTGTTCCTTATTTGGTATTTTTTAAGCAGCGCAGTTTCTTCTATATAAAAGCCATGCTTGAACAACCATAATGTCAATAAAGTGATAAAAGAATTTCTGGTACCACTTTTTGGACCTAATTGATATTCTGTATAGAGCAATAAGCGAGTCGAGCAAATTAACGCCTCCCATACTCTTATTGTATAAGAGGATAGATGATGGACAATCAATTTCAATATATTGCTTAGATGTACGATCGCCCCTCGTCTTTTTGCCACATGGATAAGCTCCTGCGTATGAGCTTAGAATTGTAACGCCTTTATTGTCATACCACTTCACAACAGTCAGGGGAGTACCATTGATAATAGTTTTCTGTCCCTGAAATAATCCACGCCCTTGTTTTTTCATGTCTTTGTCCGATATCAAATCACAACCAGCGAGTCTATTTTGCCTTACAGTTCCTACACATTGTTTACCATTTTTTGCTAATTCTAATTGCAAGTTTATACTATTGAACCAATTGTCAAAGTATAATTTGTGATTCTGGTGTTTTGGGATAATCTCTGATAACCTGAGGACTACATTACCAGCTGAACCAATATCAGTTAGAGTATGAGGTTCTTTTTCAGTATATATTTCCAAATTTATTATGACTAGAGGAAGAGACGATTTAATCTTCATGTTTCTCTACAAAAAAAAATCCTGTCGTGGCGACGTGTTTTTCTTTTCTTAACTGTACCGAAATATCTGTCACAATCATTAAATGAGTGGCTCCGCTGTGGAAATTAAATAGTAATTTTTTTAACTTCTTGGTCATTACTAGAGCCAGAAGATTCTGGTTCTCCAGTTTTTCGTGAAGCTATGCGTTTGCCCACATGATTTAGATGTTCTTTTCCGTGAACTTTTGCATTTTTAATATATTTATAACTATTTTGATTCCTTACACTTTTTTCGTTTCAAAGGAGGATATTTACTTGCACTACTATCACTACACGACATTGTATTACGCACAGCGTCTGTTTCCAAACTTGTCTATACAACTACTAAATAGATTGCATCGTCAATTTAATATACCATTATACTGTGGGTAGTTCGGACGTAATAAACCATTATACTGTGGGTGGGTACAAATCGCCGTTCATTTTGAAAATGGGTTATCTCTAGGAGGTGACTCGTTTTTAAACTGAACTGGTTGTGGGGTATGCTGTATTTACGGTAATAATATTGAAAGTTGACCCGTTTTTTATATGGAATAGACGTGTCTAGGTGTGTTAAATATAAATTCGACAGAAAGTGGAAATGTCAAAAAAGTGGAGATGACCCCTTTTCATAATGATCGATTCAATTGTAATACGCAATTCGATTCAATCGTTTTTTTACTATTTTGTAAGAAAACAACAACATATAATTTTATATCATATGAAACAACTTTTGTATTTTTGAATACTCATTATCAATTTGAAGCAACCTGAGATACATTTTTGAAATCAGCTTAGTAAGAAAAATTAGGAAATTAAAAAAAAAAGGAATTTTCCATGTTAAGAATTTGTTATAAAGTCATCAAATGAAGATAGTTGATTCGATATATTAAATTGTTATGTTAAAAAATAAAAAATTTAAATGAAAAATGGTGTTGCTTCGAAAATTTTTAACAATAGAATGGTATCAATATTTTTAGGTAATTAGTGGTACTGTGGTGTCATATACGACACCAGAGACTTTTTTTTAATTTATACTAAGAAATCAAAAACATACGTATGTTTTACATTTTTATTGTTCAAGGTTATAAAAAGACTCTAAAGAAGTAGAAAAGTACATGTTTATAACAAAAAAAATCAAATTTCTTCGGTACAAGTTGGACAGATTGGTCTTCTGTGTTCGGCACACAGGCAAGCTTTACAGCGGACGCATAGGTCTCTACCTTTTCTGTTGGCAGATCGAGGGCAAACTTGACATCTTTTTTGAGTTGGAGGTTGAGTTTCTTGATTTCTGAGTACTGTCTGGTTCTCTTGACCAAGAACATTCAAAATCATGGAACGCAAAAATTTGGACAAAGTCGGTATTTCTAATCTCTTCTTTGGTTGCGGAGTCACCAACTGTAGTGCTAAATTCCTAAGAAAATCTGTCCTGGGAGTAATTTTTATATTTGAAACTGATTTGGTTCTATTTGCGCTATAAATAACATAAGCATTAATGCTTGCACCATCAAGCATGCCATAAAAAAAGAGGCCACCGACGAGTTTTTCTAGACACGGATTTAGAATGACACATCTGATCATAAGTGTCTACTACTCCTTTTGTAGAGTTATAAAACAAGACAATCTCGAGCTTGCTAGTGTCTTCATCAATTACAACATAAGTATGAAATGTTGACAGCAACAGAACAATTTTTTTTTTGTTTTGGAGAAAATGATACTAACGTCTTATTCTCGTCAAAAGCAAAGTCAGAACTTGGAACAATTTTTTTTGTTTTTAAGAAATTCTGGTGGAATGTCAGACTTGTTTTTTCTTAAGGTTCCAACCATTGTCAACTTTTTTTGTAAAAGCTTTTCTGCAAGATCTGAGGACGAAAACTAATTATCCATGGTGACATTTCTATTGGTGCCATAGAGGTTTTTGCATACATGAAGAACGTATTGGGTGGGCAAAGTTTCTGATGCATCTCGTTTCTCTTTTCCCACATATGGTATTGTAGAATACATATAAAAAGTCTTAGAGTCACACAACATAACGATTTTAATTCCATATTTATCTGGTTTATTTGGAAAATAAACTTTAAAAAGAAATCTGCCCCGAAAACTGAGCAACTATTCATCAATTGTCACATATGCGCCAGGAGTGTAATTAGATTCACAATTTTCAATAAACTCATTCCAAAGAAAGCTTATAGGTGCAAATTTATCATCACGTTTCCTTTCCTCTCTACTTATTTTGTTATCAAAACGAAGACAATTAATCAAAAATTCAAAGCGTTTTTGTGACATTGTTACTCTGAAAATTGATATTCCAATTTGTTTTGACCATAAATCGGAGGTACTCAGTTTTTAGAAAACAACTCATATATAAAAGACCTAATAATGCCAAAATCTCTTCTTTGCTTGTAACAGTTGTAAAACTTGAAGATTGACTAAATTTAGTAGATTGTTTAGAGATTTCTTAGTTTGTGTATTGAGTAATATAGTTTATTATTGAGTCGCTGAAAAATAGTTTCCAAGCCCGAATCTCTTCTGGTGTATTTGAAGCGTGAGCCTTTAGATGCTCTGGTAGACGAAGCACTATGTTTTTTTGAACTTTCAGAAAAACGGAGTTTTATACCACTTAAAACCATATTTTCCATATACTACTTTTCTTTTTTGATCACTATCTTGCTGCGAATCTTCCCTCTCCTCTTCGCTAACCTCTGGTTCTGCTAAAATGGTATCACAATGTTCACTTTCACTAAGTTATTTGTCTTCATCCTGACTCAAACATCCAGATTCTGTATTATTTAAAGGGACATCTTCACCACTCTTACCAGCCTCATAAGCACGCACAATTTCTTCAAACTCAGCCTGAGTCAACGCTCTGCTTGTTGAAGCTATTTACTTCTATATTCAAAATTATAACGGGAATTGTACTGTGGTGTCGTATGTGACACGGATAAATATTTTACAATAGATATTAGCGTCCCATAAACAGTCACGGTTACAATTGATTTGAAACTAAAAGAGGTAAAGGTACTGAGAATCTAAGCCTCCTCTCTCTCCAGGAACATGCTGACTGCATCTAATCGAAACTGCGTGGTGACGGCGACACCAGTTTACCATTCTAGGGTTAATAGCATTGTTTATTTAGTTAATAATTAATTTTTTTGTCATTCAGTATAGCGAATCAATATTGTTAATGTATATTTCATTATTTTTACAGCATGCATAATAGTTAAGTCAGCATGAGCGCAACATTTTCGGAACCTCCAACAATAAAATTGGAGGAGACAAGCGAAAACGTCACAGAAATTCAGTCCTATTTAGAAGGGTTCCAAAAAGAGATCGTAGGAGATTCAACTGTTCAGCCTAGTTCAGGTAGGTTCACTATTTTTCAGTATCGAAGTAACTGAATATATGTAGAAATATTATTATTACTTTACAACATGTGATATTTTCGTAAAAACAATGAATATTGTAGTACCGTAGAGTTGGGTGACTTGACTACAATTTGGACATTAATTTAGTAATGCCTGCCATACTTATTGTTCTATCACAAAACAAAAAATATGGTGTTATGACACTTTTTGCAAAGAATAGAACCTATACAAAATTGTTTTGAAAAAACAAAAAAAACTAGGATACCACTTACTTCAAAACGTTCATTCTGACAAAATATAAAAACAACAAATTAAAATATTCTCAAAAAGTTTACATTGTATTAGACTTAAATCGTAGTGAACAATATTTTTATTAATGCATTATCTAACCTATTTGTTTATAAAACATAATCAGCTTCAACCAAATCTGTCAAAAAATTGAAACGTTCTCGGTGAAGGTGTGGAGCTGGAAGACGAAAGGCTTTATTTCTGGTCATCATCGATTCGTCTATTACGTCAGGACATGAAAAAAATGTTTCTTTTTTACCCACATTTTTTCGTAAGAATTTTATGACTTGGTAGATTTTTCCAACATATTTAATCCGTTTCAGAAAGTAAAATCCGGATACAAAACGAATTAACGGAAACAATAGATGTGAAGAATGGACTACGCCAGGGAGACGCTCTATCATGCATATTATTCAACATCATACTTGAAAAAATAATAAGAGACACAACAGTTAATACCCGAGGAACAATAATTAATAAAAGCGTGCAAGTACTAGCATTTGCAGATGATGTTGACATAATCGCAAGATCAAGAAGAGAAATGAAAGAGGCATTCACTCAAATAGAACGAGCTGCAAAAAATAGTGGTCTTAAAATCAATCAGACAAAAAAAAATATATGCCTGCAAATAAAAACGCACAAATAAGGCAGCTGCCAAATTTAACAATAGGAGAATACAACATTGAGGCGGTAAAAAACTTTACATACTTAGGATCCCTAGTTACGTCTGATAACAACGTTGCAGAGGAAGTGAAGAGGAGAATATTTATTGCCAATAAATGTTACCATGGCTTAATTAGGCAACTAAGATCAGATAACGTCTCCAGAAAAACAAAATGCCAAATATACAAAACCTTAATAAGACCGGTACTCACATATGGTTCAGAAACCTGGACACTCTCTAAAAGGGAGGAAACGTTATTAGCCACCTTTGAAAGAAAAATCTTGCGACACATATATAAGGGCACAAAAGAAAACGGGATTTGGCGGAGAAGGTATAACTTTGAACTATACAACATATACCAGGATCCGGATATCATAACATTCATTAAAATAGGAAGGCTACGTTGGATTTTACATGTGGAAAGAATAGAAGAAGGCGAAATACCAAACAAAATATTCAAACAAGTGCCAGTAGGAAAAAGAACAAGAGGAAGACCGAAGCTGAGATACGTAGAACAAATAGAAAATGATATAACAACATTAAAAATTAAAAACTGAAAAAAAAAGCACGAAACAGGTCAGAATGGAGAAGAATCCTTGAACAGGCCAAGACCCAAAAAGGGTTGTCGAGCCAGTGATGATGATGATGATTTAATCCGTTTCTCTGTTTTAAAGTTCACGAGAATAAACTCTCCACATTGAATGTGGCTCCACAGGTTCTTTATTTTGCCTGTCTTTTTTATTTTGCTCTTGATTTCACATTTGTAAATTATTATCCTCGGGCTCAGTATCACTGAACTCTTCTTCGTCGGTCTGGTCTTCAAGTTCTATATCATCTATTTAACTTTCAGAAGAAAGTTCGTATTTATTAGACTTGCGTGGCTTCGGATTTTTTTTAACACTTCTTTTTTGATTAGGTAGTCGTAATTCCACCGTTGTCTAGTCTGGTTTTTGTTCTTTTAAATCTTCTACAGAGATGCTCTCCTTTGGAGCAATATTAGTTTCTTCCATCTGATGAACATAGTTGGTTTTACATATCTTTCAGTAGAAAGGGAATTGATCTTTCCTTATATGGCCAGATTGTATTTGCTTCCATTTAATCAAAACAGATCTCCGTTTACCCTTCAGTGGTCTAAAATAGCAAACATTTAGCGGTTGCGTTAGATGCGTGCTGTTGGGCGGTAAAAGAACAAAGCTAATATTATTGTTTTGGCACTCTTGTATGACAATGATGGAAATATGGCTGGCTAAATTGTCACCGTTTAACACCAAAGTTTTTTAAAATAAGGGAGTACAATAAATTTAAACCAGTCTTATAAACAATATAAGGTGGCAACATAACTCCTGATCCACTAACGGAAAACATCATACTCACTGAAGATTTTTTGTGGTCTATAATTTTTTCGGCATGTTTAGCTGGCGTCGAACAACAACTTTTGTTTGTCCAGGATCATCGGTGAAACATGTTTCATCGTAATTTACGATATTTTTATCAGGAATGTCTTTTAAAGTAACAGCCAACTTATCAAAATATTCTCTTAAAACTTCAATAGAAATCGCAGTACGACTTCGCTTTATATTTTCTGTTAGGCGAATGGAAAACTCACTATGACGAGTAATAAATGCATAGTACCAACTATTACCCGGTCTGTTGTCGGTGAATGATCCTAATCTTCATCCTTGTTTGTTTAGATAATTTCGAACGAGACCATTAATATTATCTTTATCTTAGGGAAATTCCCACTCTGCAGCAAATAAAACACCATCTTTTAAAACCTCTTCCTCCTCCTTTGTCAATGAAGTCTGGCCTCCATAAGTTTTCATATTATTAGTTGAAGCCTCCGCCAATGTCCATCTATCATTACGAATATTTGTTAAGGCTTCTTCTAAATTCATCTTTACTAAAGTCGTGGTATTTTCTCTTGCCTAACAATCCCTTATACTTATTAGGCATTTTGTCAAGTCATAAAAAACTGGTAACAAAAAATTAAAAAAACCGTTACTTAACCTCAAAAAATAGAATCAAGAAAATTGATGTTGAAACCCCTTAAGAAGGTAATAAACTATTATAAATTTATAAAAAAATATTACATGTAATTTGCTGATACGAACACTTGTTGATGACCTTAATTATACATATCAACAATCGTGGTTTTCTTACTAGTGTGATGTGGAGGAAGAATATAAATGATTAAACATGCTTTTATATAACTTATATTTTTAACTAACGGTCGAAATATGATATATATATATATATATTATATATATATATATATATATATATATATATATATACACCTTTTTACATAGATAATTGACATGACGTGTGTTATGACTTTCTTCTTCTTTTCTCTATTATAATATACTACAATACCTCCCCACTATAATTTTAAACGCACAGAGGTGGTTTACATTTCTTTTTGGCCTACCTGGAACTGCTGTCACACTTTCTTTGGTCTCGGGTTTCATTAACCTCAGTAACCACTGCTTCACTTGCTACTTCATTACCAGACTCTTCAAAATGTCTCGCTTTAATATCACTTTGTTTTAATACTTCCCCTTCTCTTACAGCTGAGAGGGGTCCAACACTGGTACTAATTGTATTATTATTATTACTAGTTATATCAGTTACAATGGTTTCATTAAAACTATCGTAGTTAGAATCAGATCCTTTATCTCGCAAAATCTGGTCCAAATGTCTTTTTCAAATTAAACCTTCCTGTGTTAACTTTAACAAATATAACCTGTCACCTAAAAGTTCATCTATTATTGCTTTTGCCCATGTTTTACGATTAGGATAACGATAACCTCTACAAAAGACTTTATCCCCCACTTGAAAAGTTTCAATTCGTCTATTACTATTTAATTTATTATCAATTAATTTAGAACTCTGATTTTGACTACATGTCCATAACAAATCTAATCGGGTTTTAACTTTATGTTTAAATACAAGACTGGAGGGTGAAACACCTGTAGTACAGTGTACTGAATTTCTATAATGGAACAATAACTTACTGATTTTAGTTTGTAAAGAAATATTACAGTTGTATTCATCCTTCAATCTTTTTAAAGCAGCGTTTTTAAATGTCTTAACGAAATTCTCTGCAAACCCATTTGTTGCTGGATGATATGGTGGTGATGTAGAGTGTTTAATACCATTATTATGTAAAAACTGTGAAAATTCACCTGATGAAAATTGAGAGCCATTATCTGTAACAACTACTTTAGGTAAACCAAACCGAGCAAAACAATCTCTAAATTTTTCAATAGTCTCCCCAGCGGTAAAATTATTCATAATAAATGCTTCTGACCATTTTGTAAAAGTATCAATGATTATCAAAATAATTTTATTTCTTATGGGACCCAGAAAATCAGCATGCACCCTCTCAAACATACATGTATTGTTCCCTTTTCACATGATATTAACTTAGCTTTACTTGGTTCTGCTCTGAACCCTAAACAAATTTTACAATTATATACATAAGATTCAATGTCTGTATCTAAACTTGGCCACCAAAAATCTGAGGAGGGCTTTGTAAGCCGAAAGCACTCAGCTAGGAAATACATTTTACACACTTGAAAAATACTTTCCTTTCCTATTCTTTGATTAGTTCAAAAATAGATGTGTATACATTCAATTTGCTGGATTATTTGCATCAGGGCCACTATAAACAGCAATAAAGTATGGTTATTGAAGAGAAAGATTGAGAAACAACACACGTATAGGGTGAGATAACTATTGGAACATAGATTAGGGTTTGGATATTTGGGTCAAAATATACCTACTCGTTTGACCAAATACGCTATAATATAATGTTGAATTAAGAAGGTAAGAAGAAGGTTAGCTATTTTAAAATCAACACAAATGATCTAATTATTACAATTCAATTAATGGCTAATTGGTCTTTTCCAAAACCATCTAATTAAGTTAAAAAAAAACAATTCAATTGTTTTTATGTCATTATACGTCTCTCATACGCAATAACACACATTTCAGACTTCGCTGACTGATCCAAAAATAATCATTGTTCTTCTGGGTTGTACGATGTATGAAGCGACATTAAATTTTCACAAAACACCTGAAACATCGTGTCAGCAAACAAACTTCTTATTTTATAGAAAGATATATTATTCGAATAAAGATAAGTAAAAAAACCTTCATATATTTTTCGGAAATGAAAGATGAAATTTTCTCAGTCCGGTAGATTTTTTTTCTGTAATCTGGAGGCTAATAACCGTAATCAGATTACGTGATCGGTAGCTTCTCGTCCGATCATGGGGACTCCGAATGGTCCTTTAATCCACTCTCCAATCATTTCTTCACAATTGTAGCATACACTGTGAAGAACATATTTCTTATCTTAAACATCCAGTGAAATTTCAAAATAGACTTGCTAAACAGTTAAATGTCTACTTCTCTAGTCTTTTCACAAACAATACCACCACTGAACGTACTACTGTATAGTTTTATTTTTTTTTAAATGAAATAATATATATCGGGTGATAAGATTTCTATGTTACTTAATGTATTTCGTTAGAATATTGTTTATAATATCAATATTTATTTAGGGAGTGAAGAACAAGAAGTTGAAAATGAACAGGAAGAAGGAACTTATTTTGTTGACCAAGCTGGGCACTACTATTATCAAGCCAAGGGTCAAACACAACCCGTCATGACAGTAGTGCCAACAATTGCAGCAAGTGGAGATGCTGATGAATATGTTATTAATCAGGATAACGATGAAGAAGGCGAGGAGGGAGAAGAGGTAAGCTATTTCATTATATATACAGTGAAATCTGAGTAACCTGAAAGCTGATCTTTGCAGGTTTAATTTCTTTATAATTGTTGGCGTAATTTTTTTCGTCTTTTTTAAACAGTGAGACCATAATATTAGTTTTGTATTTCTCAAGTATTCATCCTAATCATTTTAATAGACATTTAGTTAATTGTTGCATTAGTTGTGCATATTATATGAGCTCTATTGTTGTTTCATCTCGACACCTGATATGAAAAATATTGTAAATCACTTTTGCTTAGTTTAGAGAGCGATTTAAAAAAAATCACATTTTATTTTTTTACTTCGTCAGTTTTAATATTTTTTGTAGTATTTTCGACTTCAGAGCTAAATTTTTTTTCGATTCATAATTTTTGTAAAAGTTAATATTATCCGTCCTATCATTTTACTAAATTTCATAGATCATCTTTCTCAGTTCTAAGAACCATCATCCAGGCGGCTCATTTTATAGTGTTCACTTATTTTATAGTAGGTGATGGATTCGACCGTTACTTGATGGAAATTAATTTTATCTAACAATAAAACATTGAAAACTTTTCAACACTTCTGATCTATTTTTAGTATGTGTTTACAGTCTATAGGCTTTACGTGAATAGATTCAGGAGGGGAGAACTGTTTGTGTTAAGTTGGTCATGCAGAATTATGTCTGTATTTTTTAATTTGTTGATTTCCATAGATTCTAATAAAGATAGTTTTAAGGCCTTTATTTTGAGTGTGAAGAATTTGACATTCGTCATTAAAAGAATGATTATGAGAATGTTTTTCTATTATTGAAAGCACTTTTATGTTCTGCTATACTTTTGATAAAAGTTTAACAAGTTTGACCGATGTAAGTTTTTGAGCAGTCGCCACATTTAAGTTTGTATAAAACGCTGTGTAATTGCTTTTTGTTTTGGCTCTTGTTGTTCTTAATACATTTGCCTAAGATGTTGTTTGTTCTAAAAGCTGGTCTTATTCCTTTTTTTATGTGTTTGGCTATTTTTGTTGATATATTGCCTGTATATATAATCGAGCAGAATATACTGGGTTTTCTCTCTGGTGGTGGAAATACTAATTTCAGGGCTTTATTATGCAGTTTTTGATTTAGATAGAATATATTTATTGTGTGTTAGTTCTACCCATTGTTCGCTGCCATTTCTTTAATGATATTCAGATATATCTCGAAGTTATTTTTTGACATGTAAATTTCTATTAATCTATGTAACATGCTATAGCTATCACATGAAATTTGGTTATTCATACCGAAATAGTTAGCGAAAATAATCTAACTGGCACTTGTCTTGTTTTAACAGCACTAGAATATTGTAAATAATAAAATATTTTATTTTAATTTAACAGCACAAATCTGTTTTTGGCTCAATAAAAGTGTCATAGATTTTTTTAACCCCTTCTGTTTCACGCAGTTAAAATCTGCGACCTGTCTGGTTTTGTCAGTACATTCTTTGAGAATTTTTAAGTCGAAAGGAATATTTACCTTAAAATCGACAAAAAAGTGAAGTTGGTTGGTTTTTTGATAGTATTAAATAGAAACAGACTTACGAAGTTCTTCTGAGGAATGCCGTTGAACTACCTAAATACTTTTGTTAAAAGAGTTTTGTTTTAATAATGTTTTGTATTATTTTATTATACTGATACTTTTTTTATAATTATGTTATTCTTTTAGCAGATTATCCAACAAAATGAAGATAACCAGTTTGTAATTAGTTCCGGCAACGCATACCAAAGAGTGACAGTAGTACCATCTGATAACAATTCCGGCGAACTTAGCTATGTGCTTATTGTTCAAGATCCCTTGGATATTAAAGAAGGAGATCAGACTGACGGAGAACAAGATATGACTGGTAAGTGAAATTTTTCATTCAAACAATAATTCTGAAAATTTTCACAGTATAAAATAATCACCATATGAAATAACAAATAATTAATCACCATTTGTATATATTAATAGAGAAATTATTGCATTAAAAGATAAAACGAGTAAATGCATGTTTACATAAGGGAATACGAAAGAAATAATTTAAAAATCGTAAAATTATCCCCTTGGAAAAATATTAATTGGGGTGAAGAGCCATTGTAATAAATTGCTTACTACCATTGAAACCTTTCTGTTTAAGGTCTAGTATCTCTCAGAAATGCCATTTCTATAACATTTATGGCCTCTTAGAAATGTATATTCCATATAGTTTTAATTCATTTTGTATTCCAGTTTTATTAAATAATAACGCAATGTCGTATATTACAAGTGACATTTATTATCTTATTTTATTATCTGCATGCGAATATATTTTGATACCAAATCACAATATTCGAAATAGAGCACGCAACATCTGAAGATATACGAATCATATGAGGAGTGTGACAGGGTTGCATCTTATTACCGCTATTATTTAATCTGTATTACTAAATAACCAGCATAAATAACATCAGTACGCTGATGATACCGTCCTAATAGCAAACAACGCACAAGAACGGCAAAATATAATAAATTCGGTAATGTGTTATAGCGATAAGTTCGGCTTAAATCTAGATGTGTCCAAAACTAAAATCTAATATTTTCAACGACACCAATGAACGTACATTGTTATGCCCAGGGACAAATAATAGAACAGGTAATTTCCATAAATATTTTGGTGCAAATAAAATAAATAAAAAAAAACAATTCTATCAATAATCGAACAAGCGGAGAAAACACTTATGATAAAGCAAACATTTTTTTACAGGATCAGACTGTAGTCTGGATCTCATCAGAATTTGAATGATCAGATTTTATGTTTTCTCGATTTTACGACATAGTCCTTATTGCAGCATTGTACTGCCAAAAACATTTCAACTAATGGAACGCAAATTGAAAAAGTGTAAACCTATAGGTATCTGGGCCACGAGATTAAATTAGTAGGAAACAGTCAAACAACAGAGTTAAACAGGAGAATAGGACTAACGTGGAAAATAGGAAAACTGAGGGAAGTCCGATCAGATTAGATTATTCCATGAGATTAGATTGAGAAGGAAGGTCTTTGATCAATGTATACTCCCAGTTCATCAACGTATGGTGCAAAAACAACGAATCTTATCAGAAAAGTAATCAATAAAATACAAATAGGGCACAGAGATCAATGGAGATGTCAATGTTAAATATATCCCTCAGATACAGAAATGATAATGATGATGATGAGGAATAGATAGTGTATCAGTGTCTTTGTCATCTTTGTATTGGACTTCATTTATTTTATTACGTGTTAGCGAGGTACAAAACGACCTTCAAGGTCGAACATCTGTCAAAATAACGTGTGCTGTTATTCAGTCCGACATAAAGAGAAATTTCTAAGCTGTTAAGTATCCATGTTGGAACTGTCAATTCTGTGATTCATAGTGCTGCTTATAAAAAAGTTGCTGTTGATGCGCTATAAACAAAAAACAATGGTTTTTACACCAAATTGTTGCCAGTGATGAACCTTGGTGTTATTTCTATGAACTAAAATTCAATTAACAATCTCCAAAAAAATGTCGGTTTCAAATTTCATCGTATTTTTTTATTTATGAAGGTTAGGTTTTATGAAGTTGGGTTGGGTTAGGTTTTACAAGTGATGGAGTGTAATAACAAGAAAGAATCACCAAAATATCTTGTATGTTCGTTCAGCAAACCTTTTAAAATTTATTTTATATGTGTTACACAAGAAAAGAAGATTGTTAGAGAAATCAACAATACTATGTTCTTACATACAAGCTATATTTATTATTAGCTGGAACATAGATTTAACTGGAAATACTAATTTACATCTTACAAACAAAAATGTCTATTACAATTTGATACTTTCTTAAATCTTTATACAATGTTAAATATTAATTTTCCCGATGACAACAATTTCCAATGCAAATAAATGATTAGATTTTGTTTATTCTAATCGAAGAGATACTAAACTGTTTTTCTTTGAAGGTTTTTTGACAACGCATATCAAAACCTTATACAAGATTGAATTTGAAATACGTGAGTTAAAACTTCACACAGATCGGAATTTAAAAATGCTACGTGGTTTCGTTTTATGATAGTGCTACTGCTATATGTTCCATTGAGCTCATTAAAACAATTCTATAAGGAACTCTGTGCTGTACAATAATAAAGAAGACTGCTCTTATAGTTAGTGTGACTAATTTAAAATTTTCTGTCATTCAATGTATTCCCCACATTTTAGTTGAGTACATATATGTTATTTTCATTCTTGCGATATACTCCTGTTTGCAGTATTTTTCTGTTGTTGTAACTTTCTAAATGCGTGAATAATTTAACTTTTCCAATAGGGCTTTAGCTTTATATGTTAACTTTGTTTAATATTTAAACTATGCAAAGTATATTCTTTATGAAAAATATTGCATATATAATTTACAAATTTTATATTTTTAATGATAAATATAATTCTTTGTAGTGTATGATTTCGATGATGCCGAAGACGGAGGAGTAGTAGATTCAGACGAAGACGATAAAAGTAAAATAGTTAAACTTCTGCCTAGAAAATCGCAAGTTGTTGCACAAGCTCACATGTGTAACTATTGCAACTATACTAGCCCCAAACGGTATCTTCTTTCCAGGCACATGAAATCACATTCTGAAGAACGTCCCCATAAATGTAGTGTATGCGAGAGGGGATTTAAGACTCTAGCTTCTCTCCAGAATCATGTGAACACCCATACTGGAACAAAACCACATGCTTGTAGATACTGTGATGCAGCTTTTACTACTTCAGGTAAGCAATATTATATTTATATGTAATATAAATTTTCTTTAGCCATGTTTACACTCAGTTTAATTACCTACCGTTGGGTAACAAAACAGTTTGAAACTTAGAAAACCTAATATCAACCTAACTGAAAATAAGAGAGCCACAGAACTATATGATACATACGAATAAACCTTTCAATTACCGTTTCAAGAACAAAATATAATTGAAATGTCAGATGTTAATAGTTCAGATTTCTTTCCTAGGTGGCGTGGTTACCTTACCGGACAAACAGTGTAACTTGTCGTCCTAGCTTTCTCTGTATATGTAGAGTAGGGAGGGCGAGTTAAGTTCGACGGTACTTAGGCCACAATTAGCCCATTGTGCATCCTCCCAAGGAGCTGTGATAACTCCGGGCATTCAGATAGGACATGTTTTACAGTTTCGTCTTCTCGTTCACACTTCCTACGTAGAGGTGTATCTACTAGCCCCAGTGTGTGGAAGTGTTTGCTTAGTTGACAATGACCAGTTAAAAAACCAACTTTCAAGCGTAGGTTTTTCCTGGTCATTCCCAAGTACTTCTTTGATGCTGATTTTGAAGGTTACTTTGTGTTATCTTGGCAAGTCTACATCCTTGCCTTTCTTCCAATCTTTTTACGGTTTGACATTTGACAATTTCCGCAATTATTGTCGTTGACCAACCAAAAAGATCCCCAGGTCCTAAGAGTCTTAGGACTGACACTCCTAGTCAATTGGTCAGCAATGCGGTTGCCTTTATTCCTATCGTGTCCTTTAACCCACCTCAGGATGATGGTATTACCATCCGAAGCTCGATTTAGTGACTCTTGACACTCCATTACTACCCCTGATGTGACACGTGGTCTATTTAAGGTTAGTAGCGCTTGTCTGCTATCTGTGCAGAATATTATAGTTTTCCCGACTATACCTTTTAGGGATATCTCTTTTGCAGCTATGGAGCCAGCCAGTTCTGTCTGAACTACGCTGGCATTTTTGCCCATACACCACCTTATTCTTAGGTTCACTGATCTAGAGTATATCCCGCATCCTGAGCCTTCTTCAATTTTGGAGCCATCGGTGTATATGCAATAGGCATTCCATACGTTTGTCTCCCCATACTGTCTTGTATTTTAATTGAGTCGCAGCCTGCCTGTAGCAGGGATAGTTCAGTCTCATTGCCCTTTTCCTAAGGACAGCCATGTCATCAGGTGTCCTTTAGGATCCTTTTTTACCTCATGGTGGCAGGTGCACCATCTCGCAACTGCCATGTATGGATTTTGCGCCGTCATCAGAGGTGCTTGTAGTATCCTCCAGGATCCATAGAGAGGCCTTTGTAAGCTTTGGAAGCCCATATTGACTGACAACAGCCAGTGATGCCTCCTTCTACGGATTGAGATCAGTTGTAACCTTTTTCAGCCATACAAGCGCCCCATTGTCATCAAAGACTACTCTGATGGTCTCACCCACAGTCCACAATTTGAACGTGGGAGCTTTTACCTGGCTGCTGGAGGTGGACAAGATTGCTCTGTCCAATTCCTCGATCAGGCTGCGTTTATTAAGGTTTTCACGGTCGGCAGTGATCTTTTCCTACGGGTTTACCTTATCTATAATAGCGAGCTTAAGATGTCTTAAGGCGGCTTCCGCGAAGCTTTGGGAAGCGGCGTTTCTACCACTGCGTGACTTCTTATGCTTCCGCGCTGTGCCTTCGTTGAGGTAATGAGCTGCTCCCGCGGGTGCTTTTCCCATCTCCTCTCTGGCCTTCTTCCTTCTTTTTGCCTCGGTGCCACAAATTCTGCGGCGCTTTGGCCGATTCTCCTGAGGTGGTCCTTATCCATCCTCCGCTTGTTCATTCTTAGCTCCGGCTTCAGGCAGAGGTAAACGTTTTAGTCCAGGCTTTGGATTGGGCCGAGATTGGAGGTGAAAATTACTCGTCCTAGCCTTTTATGTAGATAGATATCGTCGTGATATTTTTAATGCAGCTGCTACTCTCGGAAATAAAGAATTGTTCAATGATATGTCAAAAATATTTCAGATCACTCCGTTGATGTGATTTTAGCCATATTTAAATAACTAAATGTCAATTTAGAGGTATTGTATTACATTATTCGTTAATAAATAAATTCTTTCCTTAATAAATTGAACACGAAGGTACTACAAGGAAGATACTACAAACGCTGTGAAAATAAAATTTACAATTAGTAGGTTAGGTTAGGTTAAGTGAATCACCGACAGGAGGTTTAAGTTTATCGTTTCAGTTTCTGTGAGTAGGAAAGAGACGTAACATAAAAAATAATTCATTAATAATGTCATACTTATGCAAAGTTCCAGTGGATAGACTGTAGGATGTTATTATGTGATGTATGTATGAAAAAAGTAAAAATTATTCGTTTTGTGTACAAAAACGAAATATATGCACTAAAGCTTGATTTTATGCAAAATATGTAATTTACATAAAATTGCATAAAATCCAAACTTTAGTTATAACACTTCTTATTTAATATTATGTTTGCTTTTATAGACTATATCATGTTATCGTTATTTTTACAGGAGAATTAGTTCGTCACGTAAGATACCGTCACACCCACGAAAAACCTCATAAATGCACAGAATGTGATTATGCTAGCGTTGAACTATCCAAATTGAAGCGCCACATTCGCTGTCACACCGGGGAAAGGCCTTATCAATGTCCACATTGCACGTATGCCAGTCCTGATACTTTTAAACTTAAGAGGCACCTGAGAATCCATACTGGGGAGAAACCTTATGAATGTGATATTTGTCATACACGATTCACGCAGTCAAACACTCTCAAGGCCCACAAACTTACACATAATAGTAAGAAAATATTTTATTGAGTTGTTATTATGTTTTAATTAAATATGTTATTAATGTTAAAGTGTAAGTCCACACTTAAAACATTATTTTTTATGTTTAGAAAGAAATTTCAATGAAGTGCAAATTTATGTATGTCAGGTAGACGGTAAACACGGGAAACAATACCTGTTTTTATTTGTTTGTGGTATATTCATTAATAATATCTACAAATTATTGCTGAAATAAAGCAGAACTGTTACTGATAGAAAAATTATTTGACAGATCAACAATTACACAGTCCTACATTTTTATTTTCATGAAAAAGTGTTTTAAGTTGAATAGGTGTCCTATAGTATATGTTGATCACGAATATATACTTTGTTTTTTTCCAGCACGTCAGGTTTTCAAGAGAAGTGTGTTTGAAATTTTTCATAGAAACTGCGCAAAATAATGAGAAAATATTTATTGAAACCTTATTTAATATAAAATTATACTACAAAGTTGAGTTGTTAAAAAAAAGAGTTCAGTGTAACCTACGTTAGACAATATTTGTTGTTTTTTATTAAAACCGTTCTCTTTTTCCATGAAAACTGCATTTTGTGGTCTTCTTTTTACGAATTTTTGTAATCGAGTCTCTCTTCAAGGTCCAGCAGTAATCAGCCATCATTCTTATATCCCATCTTCCTTAGTAACGTCTGTCCATCTCCATTATATCTTCATGGAACCTTTCTCCAGCTCCTCGCTGACAGCTCCACGATTTTCGGGAAATAGTCAACGTGGTAACCAAAAAAAAAATGAAGTTTGAAGACCATATTGCATCCCAGTTTTTTATAATGTTCGACCATGGTAACTACAATTTTTTTTATAGTCTGGAGACTTGTTGTTCACAAGAAAACCGTCTATGCGTTCTACGAAAGAACTTTATGCTTCACATTCATCCTGGGTCATTGTATTCTGGAATAATCTGTTCGATTTTAAGGTTGAGGTCAATTAATGTATCAAGTAGCACATTTTTTTGTCCCGGTACTAGTCTTTCTCTGAGTGGCTACTCTTTTTTAACGTGCTCGAGTGGGCCACTCGTATAAAAAACATGGATATTATGTGAATCCAGACTGCTGACCCAAAAGCATGGATATTATTTTGAGATCTCCACAGAATTGCCAACAGTATTCGCTATACTTTCTTTCAGATTCACGGAGTGAGCAACAGATACTGAGTCACAAGTATTACCATTGTGCAACAGACTTTTCTTAGAAGAATCAATAAATAACCGTCATGATGTGGAATCGCAATTGTCAGCTCCCAGTTTCATGACTACTTCAGAAATATTATGATTTATTATATGAAAATATTAAGATTTGTGCAGCATCCTTCGATAGGCCCAAGTCTCTCACTAAGTCATTTAGTTCAGCTTTTGAGGTTGGTCTATCTCAAGATTGAATTCATCTTCATCGGTTTTTTCGTCTGAACTTTCATCTGATGATTGCTGTTGGGTGGTGTGAAGAAAAGTTAGAGGAATAGGGATTCCTAGTGGTACAGGTCGTTTAGCAGAAGGTAAATTAGGATATTGATTTTTTTGAATTGAAACCCTTGATATCTCAGCAGCAAAAGTAGCATTCGTTAGAGTTTTTTGGTTCCTTCCCTGCCATAGGAATGCCGAAGGGTAAAGAGTTACGTATACCTTTTGTCCATTTTCTCAGTAGTTCTACACACTGAAAGCACACTTTGTGTGGAGCCCAAGGTTTGTCCTGATCACGAAACTTTACAAGAACTAATAAGGTACTTGTTTGCGTTAGTATATAATATCTCAAAAGGTTTTTAAATTTTTTTAAAAATTTTGACGTGATGGGCAGTGTTGCCATTCAAAAACGTAATGTATTAAAATATTTTCAATCGATCTATCAAGTATTTTAAAGAAATAATTGTTATGCAATTTACGAAATATTATTGAGGTATTTGTTTGCACTAGTAAAGTTGTTACGATATGAATTGGGAAAGAACAATTTTTGGGGTCCGGTCAGTAATTCTACGGCGAACATAGAAATAAAGATAAATCTTTGTAATTCTAATTATTAGTTACTCCTGGTATTAGTCCACATGGATATTGGTGTGGCTTATTACTTTGAACGTATCTTATTGGGTAATACTGAAATGTAATTGGTCAAATTTTTCGGAAGTGCATACACTGAAACCAAATCTGGCTTTGCCGTTATCTGGTAAGCATATAATAAACACAATAACAGTGTCGTCGTGATAAACTTGTTTTATTTTATTTTAAACTTATTATATAAATAATTTTATTTTTATAGTAAAATTCATCATTGATCACTAACGGTATTGTCCACATTGCAGCTGTGGTTTATTACTTTCTACGTATCTTATCGGGCACTACTGAAGTGTAATTAGTCAAATTCTTCAGAAGTTATTACGCTCAAACTTGATCGTTATCTGGTCAAAAATGCCTTCTAAGGTTTCTCATACTAAACGATATATTCAGTATCGTCGTGTACGACAGCAAGTTCACGTATATTTTTAATATTTTTGTGCAAATAGTAGTGTTGTGTTTTAGTTAAGTTTGAGTTAAGACAGTAGAAAATAAGTTGTAAATACATTAAAGATGGCTTTTTGGCGACCATTTGAATGTGATACCAACGAGAATACTAGCGGCAATTCAACGGACGATTTAGGTATGTAAATTCGTATTTAAAACTAGTTTAATAATTAATTGTATAGGGATGCTCGGTCATAATATTCACCCTTAATCTACTTTTTTTAACAATTAAAAGTAAAAATATTTCTTTTAGATCCAACACTAATGAATCGAGAATTTGTAAATAAGGACTTACATATTCAAGCGCAAAGGATTATTCTAAATATCGGAAAATAATATTGTGTTAAGGATATGTGAACTTACCAAACTTGCGCGTACGACAGTTTTACGTGTTATTGCGGCTGGGGATGTAAGTGATCATTCTGTTAAACGTCAAAGAGTTGGACAACACCGTAAAAATATTGAAAAGGCCACTAAAGACGTTATTTGTCGCTATGTGTACGAATTTTATCAGGACAACAAAGTTCCAACGTTGGAAATGCTTCAGGACAAGTTGAAAATATATCACGATTATGCATATAAATCCCTTGATACATTGAGGCGTGTTTTAATAGAATGCGGATTTAGTTATAAAAAATTAGCCAAGAGAATGGTAATTATGGAATCTACAAGGATTATGATACAGAGGCAACATTATTTACGTAAAATAAAGGAATATCGAGATGACAATAGAGACATTGTGTATCTTGATGAAACGTGGTTTGACACCCATGATGTAGTTCAATATGGCTGGATGGATGATAGCAAAAAGTGTTGCTTGAATACTCCTTGTTCGAGAGGAAAAAGAATTATAATTCTACATGCTGGAACTAAGAGCGGGTTTGTACCTAATGCCTTGTTATTATCGGCCAAAAACATTAAACAGTCATCAGCTGATTATCATGAGGATATAACGGCTGAACTTTTCGAAAAATGGGCAACGGAACAGCTGTTACCGAATATTAAAACAAATTCCGTGATAGTAATGGACAATGCGTCAAACCATTCTAAACTCTACACCAAAATTCCAAATACTAGCTCCAAGAAGGGAGATATCATAGAATTTATGGAGAACAAAGGCATGGCAACACCTAGTAAATGCACCAAAAAGGAATTGTTGCAATTAATTAAGCAACAAAATTTTCAAAAAGAATATGACGTAATAGATAAACTCTTTAAACGCCACGGGCATACGGTTTTACGGCTCCCTCCTTATCATTGTGTTTTCAACCCAATTGAAATGATATGGGCCGATGTAAAAGAGAAATTGCGGAAAATGAACCAATCTCCCCAATTAAGTGACGTTGTTGTCCAAAATAAAAAAACAGTGATCGAAGAACTTAACAAAACTGACATTTGGAAAAATTGTGTAGCGCATGTTCCAGTAAAAGAAAAAGAATATCCTACTTTACCACCAATTGAACCGGTAGTTATAAACACAAACGACGACTCAAGTTCTGGACACACGGATAGTGATAGTGTTTAATTGTTTGAATATTTCTACAAAGACTTCCACAACTTATCAAAAATATGTTCTGTGTATCGAAGTAAATGTGATCTCTACATTAATCTATAACCTAAGAGACAATTCGACTGGAAGACGAATTGGCCGATTTCATGTAAGTATCTTTCAAAAATAAGCTCTCACACTCAAGTGGGACACTTTGATGATTAGCGACAAGATCTGTATCTAGCCGTGGACAAAAAAGACCTATATAAAGCATTGGAGGAAACAATCGTAGACCTATGTAGAGCCTGGAGGAAAGAATCGTAGACCTATGTAGAGTACTGGGCGAAAAAATCTGTGTCGAGCACTAGACGAAAGAACGAAAGCTTATATGTAGCAGTGTATAAAATATTGGGTTCCCCTGTCAAGCAGTGGACGTTCAATTAGTGAATAGAAGAAGGTAACATGAGATGGAAAACAGATTAGCTAAAGAAAAGAAGAAGACGAAAGAAAGGAACAGAAAAAATGATTCGACTTGTCAGTAAGCGTGATGTCACCCGAATACCTGATCAGGTGCAAACATCAGAGGCTGCCGCTTTTTCCCACGGTCGGTAAAATTTTCCCAGCGCCAAGTGCCGCAACATCTACTGGGTGTTTTTGTTGAAAAATGAATACATTCACTCGCAAATAACTCGAAAAGTATTGATTTAGTAAAAACCTCTATAGACCAAAATTTGCCTAGAATTAGTCAGTTTATCCACTTCCGGACTTATTTTGGATGTATATCTTTTCACCCCCCAGAAAGTGCGGTACCCACCCCCAGGGTAAAAATACACATCGGCACAATATCACTTTTTTTCTTTGACACGTTAGCTATACGTGTATGCCAAATTTCATGTCAATCCCAGTAGTTCTTTAAAATTTAGAGGTTTTTACAATATTTTACCGTTAGTGAATGGTCTATGTGTATTAACTTTTAATCATCTTTGGTGTCAAGTTCATAAAGAAATGTGAATAATTAACAATATTATTACTGTTTAACAAAATATTAGACCTTAATTTAAAAATAAAATTTTATTATTTAATTTCTATTGCGCCGCCTATGTTTTACAAAAGACGCCGACACTTGAGTGTCGAATTTTGTTTTTATACTTGTCCAACTGACATCGTAAAACTATACAAAATATCTCACTAGGTCTTTTTTTAATTTTGTGAAAAATTTTGACGTGATAAACTTAAACCGAATCTGTATTCAGAATCAGCGTATCCGTATTAGCTAAGGACACATGTCAAACTCAAAACACTCATGTCGGGCTGTGTTATCGAAGCACTTCATTAAATAATTCTTAGTAATTTTTTGTATGTATTAGTAAACTGATCAATGGTATAAGTCATAGATTCATTGACTCGGTAAATAAATGAATAAAGGGTACCAGCATAATGATCCCAAGTTGAAAGTTTTTCCCAATTGAATGAATAATAATTTTTTCAAACCTGCCTATAAAATTTATTATTCCAAAAAAGTACCTAGAGAGGTCGCAGTAAGTCGCATCCGGAAGTCAGGTGCTTGTAATTTCTTTCTAAAAGTTTGTGTTCCGTCCAAACTAGGACAAGTTTCACTCTATTAGGGCTCATCAGGTAGTGGTATGTCGAAGATAAATTTAGAATCAGAACTTTAGGCTTCTCGCCAGTGTTTCTCACTACGGAGTAGATACGAGTACATGCTATTAGACCATCGGATTTCAATCTGAATTTCAACCAGGATTTTATCCCTTATGCCTTTTTGTGTACTAAAAATGTCACATATGAGATAGCAAAAAAAGGAAATTTACAACTTTACAACAAATTTTCCTAGGTAAATTTTTTTCTTTTCTAGACTTGCCGTTCCTTATCGTGAAAACTAACAAACTTTTAGTGGCATGAAGGAGAAAATCACGGATATTGACCTATTAACATTACATGTTTAGGTCATAATTAACACCCTTACGGCACCAGTAGTCCCATATGCCAACATTTTTAAAAATATAATCAATACTCCTCTATCGATTCGTATAATGGCATAAAGGAAAGTTTTTTTTAACAAATCAAGGTTTTCTTTACAAAAGAAAATTAAGTTTCACGCAAATTTTCCGAGAAAACCCTACAGTTTTTCATATTTTATCTTCCAGTACTCCCAAAGGCTTAAGGGTTGATTTGTTTTTTTACTGTTTGACATTTTCACAACTTTTCACATTTTGACTGATAATGTGATCGTTTAATAACTCAAAATCAGTTAGTTACAAAAGAGTGCCAATTATTGCGTATAAATGCCATTTTATTATACAATGTGAGTCAAATGCATGGAATGCGTGAATTATTGCAGTCGCTAACAGCATAGTTATGAAATTTTTTGGCTTTGTGTAATATATCCGCAATTTCTTTGTTGTCAGATCTTTCGTTTTTGCGTCAGCATAGGGAACGGTGTTTGAACTCTCAAAGGATCGTCATGTATATTTTACGATTTTTATATTACTTAAATAATTTTATTGACAATCATCTGAAATTTACTATGGTGTCCAAAATATTGTCCATTTACTTCCAAACAGCATACCGTATATTTCTTCTCTCTTCTCCATATCTCTCCATTTATTCTATCTTTTAATTCTTGATTATTGGCAGGTTTTGCTTTGTGCACGATGTTTGTTAAATTACACCATATGAATTTAATCCATTACTATCACATGATCATAGGGGTTATTCGATAAACCACGTCTTCTAATCCTACTAATAAAAACGTTGTTTAAATATTCTCTAACCTCAACAACATAGTGAGGATAAGTTTTGTCTTGTTGTAATCAAACATAATCGCTGTAGATATTGTTATTATCTAAAAGTTGTACAGAATGAAATTTCTAGAATAAAAGACATGAAAAATACTTATTTGGGTCATAGCCCAACCAACTCAGAAATCATACTTTTTCTAGCCAATAAGTTAACTATTTTGATTCTCTCCAATGAAAAATGTATCAATTTTTTTGTGATTTAAGCGTCCACCGTGAATTGTGTTGCGACCAAAATTAGCTAAGCTGAGCTTGCGGAATTCTCTCCCATACTGTTGCTGTTCGATGAGAAGGTGCGTTGTCATGCATAAATACAAATTCATCATCTACTGCCCCTCCGAATAGACGTACGACAGGATTTAAAACTTCTTCGATGTACACAGCACCAATATCTCTTCTCTCCATAACCAGCAGTGACTTCCGTGTACCACTCATAATACCACACCAAACCATAATACTGCCACATTTAAATGGGACACTCGGTTGGCCTGTTTCTAGTCGGGCTTGTCGTCCTGGGGCCCTCAAAACAAGTGTTCTTTGCAAATTAGATATCAAGCCAATTTTTGACTCATCAGAGAACATCACGTTATTCTAGTTAGAACCATGATGTATCATTTGTTTAGCCTATTGCAACCTTACTATTTTGTGTTGGTAGGTTAGTTTAGGAACTTGTAACGGTCTTCTACGATACAAATTTACCGCATTTAGTCTATGTGAAATTTCTCTGGATATACCACTTATAAATTCCAGATGATTTCTACGAGCTATCAATTTTATTTGCCGGTCTTGTGCTGCTGTTGTACATCGACTTATACCACTTCTGGGACGATCCTTGACGTCATTTGTATTTTGGATTTTTTTTTTTAATTTTCGATTCAGCACTCTGAGTAACATCAACAATATTCACAATATAACTTTGACTAAATCCCTGTTGTAACTAAACAATTACTCTAGATCTGTCAAAATGAGATATCACAATTCTAGGCATTTTAAACGGCTCAAATCAAATTTAAACAAAGACTGAAATAATGTGTAAATACGCTAATCAGTTGAATGTGACCAAAATTATACAAAAACGATTCAAGTTTTGTATCATTTTCATTTAAAAACGCCCTAAAATAAATAACAACAGTTTTAAAACCACCATATGCGTAGATATATTATTTGTAGGAATTCCAAACTTTTGGACATGTGTGTATAATAAGTGACTATATTAGGCGAGCTTTTACTTTGATCCGTAAACTATTGTCAGCTATGTCGCTATTGTTAAAGCTTACGTTCTCAAAAAAGAAATGCTTTCATCAGTTTAGTGCGTTATCTTCTAATCACAATTTTTCTTCTACCCTTTTCTAAGAAAAAAATAGACTAAAGGATGAGCAATATGGCAAGACAGCTTCACTTCTGTCGTCACTTTTCCGAATGCAATTTTTTTTAAGTTATATAACTTTGTAATGGTTTTATATCTATGACTATCTATTTATACTTAACCAAATGCGACAATACAGTATAAACAAACCTCGTAAGAACCTTTGCTTTTCTAAGTTTGTTTTTTAATATACCAATTAAATATAAATTTGTATATTTAAAAATATCTTAATCAAATGGAGTGGAGTATATATATATATATATATATATATATATATATATATATATATATATATATATATATATAACACTGTTTTTTATGGGTTGGAGTCAATAAAAGGGGCTATTTGTTGACTATTTTTTACTCGAGCTTTCAATTGTGATTACAATTTTTATCAAGAGCTTCTAAAAAAATACAAAATGTCTTACAAAGTTGAACTAGAAATAAAAAATTTTTTGTTAACTCACCAAATAAAATTAGTTTTTTATATAAAACTACTGCTTACATAATAAATACAAAAAATATTAATAAAAAAATGTCTTATTCTAACAAATGTTTTTCTGAAAAATTTGTTAGAATAAGACATTTTTTTATTAATATTTTTTGTATTTATTATGTAAGCAGTAGTTTTATATAAAAAACTAATTTTATTTGGTGAGTTAACAAAAAATTTTTTATTTCTAGTTCAACTTTGTAAGACATTTTGTATTTTTTAGAAGCTCTTGATAAAAATTGTAATCACAATTGAAAGCTCGAGTAAAAAATAGTCAACAAATAGCCCCTTTTATTGACTCCAACCCATAAAAAAACAGTGTTATATTTTTTCCAAACGAGTCACAAGTACTTCTTTTTTCTTACTCTTATATATATATATATATATATATATATATATATATATATAATTGTGAAATTTAATAACCCTGTTAAAAAAGAAGTGATAAAACGCTGATCAATGGCAGTATGTGGAACTGTCTTGACAGTTTTGTTTTTCTTGTTACTCGTGGACTTACCTGAAAAAGTAACAATATAGTTTTGCCATTATATCTGACATGAAACTACTTAATGTACAGTAAAACTATAGTTTTCAAAGTATACTAACGTATTATTTTCTTTTAGTTGGAGACAAGCCCATCTTTCAGTGTGACTTGTGTCCTACGACCTGTGGACGCAAGACTGATTTAAGAATTCATGTACAAAAACTTCATACCTCAGATAAACCTCTTAAATGTAAGAGATGTGGGAAATCGTTTCCAGATAGGTATAGTTACAAAGTAAGTATCTTCTAAAATATTATTTTGAATTTTTACATGTTTATGTTATCTTACTCATTTCTTTGAAGTAACTTTCTCTTCTATAGTGTCCATAATTAATTTAAGAGGCAATGCAAATGCTATGCAAAAGTTTACAGCTCACCGCCAAGAACCTGACCGCCCCAGGTATATTCGGGTTGTTGGGTATGAGCTTGTGGATGCACGTTGGGGGCAAGCCCTTCGCCCATCACCATCAACAAAGCTCAATGAATTGAACATTGTGCCAACCCCACCCTCTTCTTCCTCAACTACCGGAGTAAACAGAAGATCTGAATACCTCTCTTTAAAGTACCCTAGCACCTTCTCATCAATTTGATCGGCAGAAACTTGCCGCATCATCGTTAGTCAAGTGGTCTGTCCTTCATAACAGAAACCTTAGTAAACAAGGCCTCTGACAAATCCTCGCTAAAGAGATCCGTGATTTCCTCAGAGGATCATCTCTGACTCTGGCAACAGTTCCTTTTCAGCATTGTAATTCTTGTAATTGCGTCCGTAACACCAGTTTTCTCCTAACCATTTGATTTGAAACTCTGTCTCTGACGGATATATTCAACATTGACCTCTCCATTGCTCTCTGCGCGACTTGTATTTTATTGACTACTTCTCTGGCAAGGGTCAATGATTCTACTCAATAAGTTAGAACTGGGAATATACATTGATCAGATACCTTCCTTTTCAAGCACATGGGAATCTCTGATCTAAAGACTTTCCTAAGTTTTCCGTAAGCTGCTTATGTTAGTTCTATTCTCCTTTTTTACTCTGTTGTTTGATTGTCACTTCCTAATTTAATCTCGTTTCCCAGACACTTATTATAGTTGTATCCTCGTTCCGTTAGTTGAAATGTTTTTGGCCAGTACAAAGTTGGTCATGTATTGCGTTATTGAAAGACTTAATTTAAAGGTCAACTCGAGTATAAAAGCTCTGAAGGTATTGAAGGAGTTGGCAAGCACGATCTACCCGATTTGCAATAAGGACTATGTCGTTTGCAAACCTCAAGTTCTTCAGAAACTTCCCATTTATGTTGACTCCAATATTTTTCCACTGGCTAATAGTTTAGGAGAGGTGGTGTCTCCTTGCCTAATACCCTTCTCCAAGGGAAATGTGTTTGTTTCGCCATAGTATATTCTCACTGCAGCTGTTGCGCTATTATATATATATATATATATATATATATATATATATATATATATATATATATATATATATATTCCGAAGAAGAATACATATGATCAATGCACTCTGTAAGAGCTCTTAACATCGAGCTATGCCAGATTGAGGTCAAATACTTTCTCAGTCTACACATTGCTCAGTGGAGAAATTTAAACCGACAGGTAACTTTCTTTCCCAAAATTGATCCCAGTATCTGGCTAGTCGCCTAAAAAAACAAATCTCTTATTTAATCTTATGTTCTTTCTTCACTGAAAAAAAAAAAAATGTTTTTATACGGTATTGAAATAAAAAGGAACTTTCTTTTGCCAAAAAGAAAGTCACAATAAACTTTCTCGTTAAAATAAATGAGTTTCACGGTAACCTTGGACAAATTATTGATATTTTAAATATAAAGAAAACTGAATATTAATTGGATTAAAGAATTTTACAGGGAACAAAATTAGAGTTGATCAAGATGGATCTAACACTGCAATTATATCTTACTTTTTCTATCCACGTTTAAATGTAAAGCTGGACAGATAAAGCTATTCTTTGTCCACAGTTGAATAATCTAATTTGTGATTTTTGTTATTTTTGTGATATCTGATATTTAAATATTTAAATTTGTATTATATAAAGAAAGTAGGAAATTATAAACAAGTTGGGATATGTATGCCTGAAAGTACCTAATCTAAGTACCTAAAGACCGACGGAATACATAGTATATCTTGTTGTACGTTATGAAATAGTTATTAATGTATGCTTTTCTTCTTATAGCTTCACAATAAATCACATGAAGGAGAAAAATGCTACAAATGCGAACTGTGTCCATACGCTTCAATATCGGCCCGTCACCTTGAATCTCACATGCTTATTCACACTGACCAAAAACCATTTCAGTGTGACCAATGTGACCAATCTTTTCGGCAGAAGCAACTTCTCAAGAGACACCAAAATCTTTATCATAATCCGCACTATGTTCCACCGGAACCTAAAGAAAAAACTCACGAATGTCCAGAATGTACTCGAGCATTTAGGCACAAAGGAAATCTGATTAGGCACATGGCTTTCCACGATCCAGATCCCACTATTCAGAAGAAGCAGCTGGAATTAAAGTTGGGCCGACAGAAGAAGATTCGGATAATAGATGGCCAACCAGTAAGTAGATTTTAGATTAAGTTTAAAGGGATATTTATTTAGTGGAAACTGTTAAACAATGTCCACAATTTGTATTATATTCTTTAAAGTATTTCACCAAAGAAGTACCAAGCAGTAGTTCTACACGACTAAGAGGAGAAAGCATGATGAAATTACCATTCGCTGCACATATTTATTTTTAAAATGTTTATTTAGAAATTTACTTAACATTTTTTAAAGTCGGTCCGTCCACAAACCTCATTATTTAATTTACATAAATTTATGTCAAATGTTTGACAGTGATCTAATAGTTAGGAAATTACTTACATCGTGTTTTCCTTTTCTTTCAATGGCGCTACAACGCAGAAACGAGTCTTAGTCTCCCGAAATTTCGGCCTTTAATTTGAGCGGTCCCGGACTGCTCCTTCCAAGCTGTGACATTTAGTAAATTTTGAGCGTCCTTTGCCCCTTCGCTCTCCCATCTTTTACGTGGCGTTCTTTTAGGTCTTCTGTCCGCTTTTGCTTCAGTCCATCGAAGTCTCTGAAGCCTAGCGAATTCTGAAATTGGTGTTTCTTTGAATAGTTGTTATTAAAATCCGTGATTATATCTAGATATCTATATCGGCTTCTCGGTAAGAGGAAAAGATCTTCCTTAGAATTTATCTTTCGAAAACTTCTTTCTTTCTATATCACTCATGTCTCACATCCATTTTATTGACCTTAATATTTGATTTTGGACGTACGGTTTTAGCGGAATATGTCGGTCAGGGAGAAATAGACTTTCTTACTCTTTACTGTTCTTTTTTGAATTTCGGTTTCTTCTGTTTCCTCTAGATTTCATTCAACTCCTAGAAATGTAAAGCTCTTCACTGTTACAACACCGCCCTGTACTTTAATTTGATTTCTGATCCTCTTTGTTCTTGTCTATGTTAGTTGTTTTTGTCCTTTTTATGTTTATTTCAGGTCTAATCCCTTGGCTGCTCTTGTTAATTATAAATACGGGACATGGTGTTAATGCCATCAGCGTAATCTGCAAGTTGTACTGATTTGTTTTTAGGATATTGGCTCTTTCGACATTCAGCTCTCTTTATGATCCAGCCCATCGCCTTGTTTTAGACCTTGGAATATTGTAAAGCTTTAAGTAAGTTAATTTTTAACCAACGCCGTTGCTGTTGGTGAGTCCACCGTTGCTTTTATTAATCGGACATATTTCGACGGAATGTTGAATTTTTCCAAGATGCTATATAAGTGGGCTGCTCTTTCTGTATTCAGTCGTATGTCTGTTTGAAATCAACAATATTATGAACATCGAAATCGTGTTTCCGGGAACAATTAGTTTGAAGTTTTAAACAATATTTATTAAAACAATAACATCTAATTTTAGGTTGAGGTCATGCAGGGATTGGGTTCAGAAGATGAAGAAGAGCTCGATTTGATGTCGGTAGAAGGATCTGACGGACAGCAGTATGTAGTTTTAGAAGTAATTCATCTGGCTGATGGAGAGGAACAAGCTGTGGTTGTAGGTGACAGTGCTGGTGAATTGTTGAGCGAAACGATATTACCGAACCATGGTAAGTATTTAAATGTTAGTCAATTACTCTTTACCTATTTAAATACGATTTAGATACGAAAATTAAACAAATTTTGTTTTTTGTTACTTAGTGAAAAATTCTTCTAATAATTTAATTTTATCTGACTTATTTATATTGACAATTCAGATATATATTATACATTTTAAAGTAGACGACTTTAAAATTATATTGCCAATATTGTTGAGTTACATTCCTGGGACGACTTGTAAGATAGTTCATTCGATTACATGAAATCAAGTTTAACTTGAGAATATCCGCCAGAAAAAAATCATAGCATGTAACTCTTCTTTAAAAAGACAACCGCATGCCATGATGACAGTAAAATTCTTCTGTTAGTGATTCCATAGTAAATCGTGAGGAAAAGACCTCATAATACTATCCCTACATGGTAAGTATTTATTCTTAAATTTAGTTTACTAAACACCAAATTCTGATTTTATGTGTTTGTTATTTAAAAAATATAAATGATGTATCCTCGATATGTTACTGACACTAATACTGGCATTTTATATATTATTAACTTCCTCTTTTAATATGGATAGTCAGATCCTACTGCATTCTGTCGAGGAATTTGCGACATAATTGGTCTCACTTAGCATAATTAGATCCGCTTCTTTGATTTATCTCTTTTTACCATCTGTTTCTTTTAGGACTATACTTGAATCATTCCATTGAACCCTATGTTCACTATTCCATGCGTGTTTACATATTTGAGATCTATCAAATTCTATTTTTAATATAAGATTGATGTTCTCTTATTTTAATGGCCTTTATGTTTCACCTAAATAAAACTGATCACATTCACAAGGTATTTTATAAATACAATTCTTGTTCATTGTTAAATTTAGTTTTAGACAAAATAAATCTCAATGTGTTTGTTATTTTGAATGTTGTTGAAATGTTGAATTTATTTCCTATTCTTGTAAGTTTTTCTTATAATTTTTATGTATAGTATTATTATTTCCCTCGTATTATTGCTTGTGTATGCTGTAGGATCTCGTTCTAAGTTGTTCTGTTCTATTCGGTCGATTGTTGGAAATTCCTTACTTAACGATAAAGGATAATCATTTTTTAATAAAACAGATCTTAAGATCTTAAAACAGATGTTTTTCCTCCATGAATGAATCTTCGTTAAAACAAACAGTTTGATTTTGAAAAGTTGATTTCATGCAATCGAATGAACTATCTTACAATAAAGTCGTCCCAGTAACGCAATTCAGCAATACTGGCAATATCATTTTAAAGTCGTCTACTTTAAAATGTATAATATATTATGTCTGAATTGTCAATATAAATGTGTCAGATAAAATTAAATTATTAGAAGAATTTTTCACCAAGTAACAAAAAACAAAATTTGTTTAATTTATTAATGTTTGTATTTGAGAAGATTTCCGAAGTGGAAATTGAAACGTCAATAAACGTATTTTTACCTTTAATTGTGGCCTATTCCCATTAAAATAGTAATTACTTTAAAATGCCACAAGAAAATAGCTTCAGAACAATATTATTTAATTTATATTAAGTTTATTTTATTTTGTTTTATTTAATTTTATTTAACTTAAGTTCAGGAATATTATCATTCCAATGTCATTTTATTCAGTTATGTTTGCGAGGATCACTAAAGCCCTCAAGATCAGGTCATAACCAACTTATTTTTCTATTATGATGTACATAATAGGTACCTAACTTTTTTACGATCTTTCAGAATTAAATGATGAAGTGGTAAAGGTATTACAGTCGGCACGGCGGGCAGCAAAAGAAGAAATCGAAGAGGATCAAGATGAAAAGAAAATAGTGGATACTGATATGCAGAACTGTTTTGGATTTGATGTAAGTAATTTGATTTGTTTACACAATATATTTTAATTCAATGGACAAACTTCGTTTAAGTCTTTTTTATCAATGATATTGAGTGTTTTTAAGAGGTATATAACTTAAAAATTGAATAAAAAAAGATAAAATGTTTAACTTTTTATGAAAGTTACTTTATTCGAAAGATAATATTTTGCTATTTCTATTTAAAGATAATTTTTGGCAGATATGGCTCTGATGTATGTAGTTCAGTTTAGAGATCCCATTTTCAAGATCTTTTTGCAACATTCGTAGCAGTATTTCGCCAATAACGCGGGAATGTTGTCCTCCAAGTCTTCAATCGTTTCTGACTTATCGGTGTACACCAGCGACTACATAGTATGCTCACCGAAAATAATCTATTGGTACTAGATGGGTCCGAAACTATCAGATCACTAAACGTTTCCTTTAATAAATCGGTTGTGGCACGAGTTGTGACATGTATCGACTTGTTGAAACTACAGTTCCTCCACGTTAAGTATATTCAATTAGGCAACAAAAAAGTCCGTGATCATGGCTCTATAGCGGTCATTGAACTGTACTGATCTGGCCAGCATCGTGTTTGAAAAAATATGGACAAATCGAGTAAACCATCCCATAAAGGACAACAAACAGTCTGTTTTTCTAGATGTCTTCTTCTCTTTGAGTGCCTCTCCTATCGGAGATTGGATATCACTATGCCGATTCTAATTTTATTTACTGCTGTTTTGAATAATTCGTTGGTGGTACAGCCAAACCACTCTCTTAAATTTCATTATATTTTCTAGGAATGTGTACTTTTGTATACTGTGTACTAGATGTAATGGTGTCTTCATATACACTTGAGAATGATCTTAACTCTAAAGACGGCAGTTTGGCCTATTGCCATTTAACCAATCGTGTGTCTTTAATTCTGGTATAAGTTGGATTTTGTAAGCACGCAAACGAATATCATTTCGTAAGATCTTTCGTACACTGGTGGATGGTAATATAGTTAAGATTTTTCTGTCGATATTAAATATCGTTTTTATTTTTGTGTGTTCTTCCTATTTTCTCTGTTATACTCTTTACATATTGTAAATAGGGTAGGGATCTATAGAGGAGTATCACCGCGACGCAAGCCCGTATCTCTTGCCGTACTGCTCCACCATAGGCCGATCAGATACCAGCATATTCTAGACTAAGCCGCTGATTAATTTAGAATTTTAAACTACTGCGTTAGCCTTTTTGTTTTCTGTACACCGAGCTGGGGATCGAACTCACGTCTCTCGCAGTGAAGCGAATAAGAAGCCAGCCGCCCAGCCCGCTTGGCTATCTGACCGACGCATCTGATCGATGGGTATTTCAAGTTTTTCTTAACGCTGTTTTCACATTATGCATTTCTTCTTTTTTATTTCAATTGTCTGTCAGTCTTTCTGAGCTTGTAATAAGGGTTTTAATAACTGAATGTAATTGTGCAGGATGGTGATGTGAATCAGCCTGTAAATATCTATCGGTATGTGTGGGTTTTCGGTATACTGTATGTATCCTTCCTCTTTTATTATTAAAATAGTAGTTGTTCGTTTTCTTCCAGTTTCATAGTGAACTGAATTTTATGGTGTGTTATTGATGTGTTCTAAAAGTACCTGCTACTCCTCGAAACCGAAAGTTTTCACTCCCTGAGAGAGGTCTCCCTGGCGTAGCCCGATATTTGTTTTACAAGGTTCAGTCAGTTCCCCTGGATTCGTATCCTATATTAATTTTTTGCAAGAGTTAGTTTTGTTAAATTTGGTATTAAACTGATTTGCTATTCCTAGCTCTTTCATTGCTTTGAACAGTTCTCTTCTATTTACAGAGTCGTAGGCTGCTTTGTTGTCTATAAATATGTGATGAGTATCTATGTCATATTCAAGTGTTTTTTCTAAAAATTGTCTGAGTTTCAATCTGATGAATTGTCAATATACCACCTCTGAAACCTGCGTGGTGGTTTCCTACTGTTCATTCTGCGTATGGTACCATGCGGTGGCATAGTATAGTTGAAGATATTGTATACGCTGCATTTAGAAGCGTAATTCCTCTATGGTTAGAACATTCAAAGATATCTCCTTTTTTGTGCATGGTGTAAAGTATTCCAATCACTAGGGTGGGATTTATGTATACATATTTCTTTTATGAGCTGCTATAGTGCCATTGCGATACATAATCTACATCTGCGATACAGAAATTATAGAAATCGAAAGAGGTGTTAGACAGGATTGCGTGCTGTCCCTTTTGTTAATCAATCTGTACAGCGAAGCTATTTTGAAGGAAGCAATATCAGAGGAACAACAGGGTATATCAATAAACGGAAAAATCTTGAACAACGTAAGATTAGCAGACGACACCGCTGTTTTTACAGACAGTCTAGAAGCACTGCGACGCTTAGTAAAGAGATTTCATCAAATCAGTATAAAATATGGACTACAAATGAACGTTAAGAAAACCGAGTGCATGATTATTTCTAAGCAACATACAGTAGGAAGGCTATATATATCGAGGGAAAACAAGTAGAAAGAGTGAATAACTACAAATATCTGGGAACCTGGGTAAATGAAAACAATGAACAAGGAAGATAAATAAGGACACGCATTGAAATTGCAAGACAAGTATTTATAAAAATAAAAACAATGTTTGTTAATCGAGACCTTTCTCTGGAGCTGAGGATAAGAGCCTTATGATGCTACGTGTTCTCGACTTTGTTGTATGGAATGGAAAGCTGGACACTAAAAGTGGATAATATAAAGAAGTTGGAATCATTTGAGATGTGGTATAAAAGGATTTTGAAAATATTATGGACCCAACTAGTTACAAATGCAGAAGGGTTAAGAAGGCTACGAAAGGATTACGAGGTTATAAAGCACGAAAGGTTATAAAATATCCATAGGAAGACGAAGAACTTCCCGGCAAACCTGGCAAAGAGGTGGTACAGTTACAGCTGAGTAGATCTTTTCAGAGCAGCCGCCAATAAGGTACGGATAGCTGTGATGATAGCCAACCTCCGATAGGAGAAGCAAGTACAAGAAGAAGTAGTGCCATTATGGTGTCGTGGCCACCTACTGCATATACTTCAGCTGGGAAATTATCAATGCCGGCTGATTTGTTTCTGGCTAGTTTTTTAATTGTATCTTTAACTTCAAGAATCGTTGGAGGTTCCTCTTTCCTCTCGTCTGTTCAGTTTACCCGATCTCTTTCGTCTTCCAGGTTCTCTTCTTTCTATTATTAAAGTACCGGTGAAAGTATTCCACCCGTCTATTCAATACATCTTTCCTTGTTGGTAATAGATCATCATTAGGACTTCTGAATTGACTTTCTTATAGAATGCTCTAAATTATTTCTCATATTTACCATCATCGATTTACAAAGTTTATTTATTTATTTTAACACTTTTTGTATATTCGAAAGTATATAAAACCGCTGTTAGCTAATATCCTTGTTATAGATTGTAATACAATTGAAGCAGTTTACATATTTTCTACTAGCCTCGTCGAGTAAATGAACTCTTCCAACTATTTCGTGTCACTAATTTCGTGACTATCGCTTAGCATTTTACTATAGAGAAAAAAGCTTATTGACAGGTCTACGTTTGGCGAGCTACTTACTTAGTGTGCGCTCATAACGAGGAGCCGACCCTAGCGCGGACCATAGAATGGTATCATATTATCATCGCCAGGTAAAATAAATGCATTATTTTAAAAATGCCATCGTTCACTGTCAAAGTTCACTGTCATCACTGCTATGATCTAAGCGAGGATACAATGCGATGATCTCCGAAATGAACGCACCCTTAGATTCATATACTTTTGTAAAAGTTAATATCGACACCTTTTTATTTATATTATTTATTTTTCAGGAGGATGAGGAAGACGAGGATGAGGAAGACGTAGGGGAGAAAGAAGGCATTACGCTTATTGGTGTTGACATGCATTAGAATGGTCTTTATTACAGTTGTTACACATTCATTGACGAAATTAGAAAATATATTAATCTTTATATTATTAAAAATATAAATAGACAAAATTGTTTATATCTGAAATGTAATTTATTTGACACTTTATTTTGACAAGTTTTTCTTGTTGGTAAAGTTTTTCTTTAAGGGGATGATTTTAATTTGAACCATGAACACATAATGCAGTAAAAAGTATTCTATTGGACATTTTTATTATTGTGTTAAACTGATTGCAGATAATTGCAAATCTACCACGATTGCTTAGTTTCTACTTGGCATGCTGGGGATTATTGTTTATTCTAATTGTTATATTGCATGGTAACTACTTTCCATGTTGATAAACATAATGATATTCTTAAGTTTTGTCAATGATTGCGTAAAAATGTTTTTTATAATAAGAATGATCACCTGTAAATTTTTGTATAAATAATGCACAATTAATTTAGTTGGTATGTACATATTCTAACTTATAGTTAGATAGATATGTTGAGGTATTTAATTAAATAAAAGCGATAAATACTTAATTCTTGTTTAAATTAAAGAAAAAAAAAAGGAAAATAAGAGACAGTATAATAATTAGAAAGAAAATTTCTTAAACTTAAATAGCAAGTAATGAAAAATTTAACTTTAATTTAAAATTTAATGACATGATGATACATAATGATATGATGTTGCGTGTGACACTATTACAAGTAGGTTCGAGAATAAGCAAGAACTTATTTACGAACACATTCATAGTACTGAATAGTCAATATTCATAAACCAACAGCAGAAAAAGTTCAGAGTTTTGTAGACGATATTCATAAACACCATTCATGTGGGAGCAATTGAACAATTAGGCCAAGATATCACTAATTGGGATCCTCTATTAATCTTTTGGTTCACGAACAAATTAGATTCGGGTTCAAATTTAGAATGAGAAAAACAAACTTGTTAACTAGACGATTTGCCCACTTTAACAGAATTTATTACAGGGACGTGCTAATTTTGTAATACATTAGAATCAAAAAATAATTTCCAATAATAAAATAGATCTAGGAGCAATTATACTCACAATAAACAAAGGTCAAAGGTCAAATTGCCATACAATACGGGCACGTCTTTAGTTGCTTCTAATTTTAATACTAACCAACTATGCAGTTATTGCAAGACGGATCACACAATTTATATATGTCCTGATTTTTTACATGTAGGTTTAGTACACAAAAGGGACCTTGTAAGAAAATCAAATATATGTTACAAAATTGTTTAAGATCTGGGCATTCCACAAGGAAATGTAGGCTAGGGCCATGCAAAGAATGCAGAAAAAGGCACAATACAATTTTGCATGATAAAAACTTCTTCTTTTTATGTAGACATGACTCTTTGTGTTTTTCAATGTGCCTCCAATAAGTTGTTGTTCCATCTTTTTCGTGCGCTTCCTACTGATCGTCTTCCTATTTTGGAACCGTCTCTTGCCGTTTTACTAATCTATTTGTTGTCATTCGGCTTATATGATCGTTCCATTCTGCTCTTCTATTTCTTACCCAATTCTTGATGTTCTCCATCTTGCATATATGTCGTATATCTGTACTTCTAGCTCTGTCTTATAGTGTCATGGCATGATAAAAACGATACAGCTAATTTTAGCTCTGAAATAGACCAAGATACCGAATTAATGTACAAGTTTATTCAATTCCAAGTGATATTATTTTGGGGGATCCTTGAGTCAATACACCGGCCCCAATCAATATACTAATTGGAGCGGATCTGTTTTGGTCAATTTTGGGAACAAAAAAACATTCACTTGGAAAAAATATGCCACTATTATTTGAAAATTTGTTGGGCTGGGTAGTCTCAGGACCCTTATTAGTTAATGAATTTATAAAAACGTGTCCGGCAATTTAAGCATAAATCAGGAACTATTGAATAAACTAGCTAAATTCTGGGAAGTAGAGGAACTTCAAGCTTCAAATCATTGTCCGAAACTGAACAAGTATGTGAAAGCCTTTTCAAGGATATCACTATCTTCATATTCTTCAGGTCGATTTATAGTACGCATGTCATTAATGCAAAGCCCGTCAGTTTTAGGAAATTCTAAAGTTCTGCAGAAAGTCGCTTTTATGAGCGCAAATTTAGACGACTACAATTTAATGAAATACCACAGCAAGTTGTCTTTCATTAAATAATATACACGCTATTGGATTTACAAGATGATTTATTATCAATAACACTGATATTTCGGAAATATAATTACGTCATATCTTGGGATATACCAAAAATACTGTGACTTATGGCTATCTTTCCATTCTATGTGGACGATCTTTTATAGAGCTTCTACAGTATCACAATCACTATACATTTGTCAATAAATATCTGAAACTTTGGAATCAGGCGGATTCTCACTTAGAAAATGGTGCTCAAAAAATTCTTATTGTTTATCTAACATAACATCCCAGGAATCTAAACACGAAATATTTACCTTTGCTGACGACATTAAAATAATTATTACTTTAGGTTTAAATTGATCTTGCCGAGACGATCTACTTTTATACTGCAGCAATGCTAATACGTGACAAGCAGCTTTGAGTAAGCGTTCTATTTTATCTGCAGTATAGAAAAATTTCGATCCTCTTGGTCTAATTAGTCCTTGTATATTGGCTAAAGTACTTATACAAAGGCTTTGGGCAGACATAATGTTATGGGATGCAGCAAATACAGGTAAAATACTTAGACCTGAACAAATTCCAGCATTAAATGGATTGAAGTTGAATATGCAAGCTATTTGCAAGGATGCTATTTCTGTGCAGCTAGATGGTTTTGTTGACACGTCCGAAAAGGCTTACGGTGCTTGCATCTATTTGCGAAGTGTAAATGCGACTGGTAATGTACATGCTGAGTTACTGTGTGCAAAATCAAAGGTGGCTCCCTTTAGCGTATCGCAACAGAGTTTCGAAAATCCAATCTTTAACAGAAAATTCAAAATGGCGATATATTTCAACGTACAATAACCCAGCTGACGATGTTTCTAGGTGTCTATACCCTAGAGAGATTCTATATTCAGAGCTTTGGTGGCAAGGACCTTCTTGGCTGGCAAGTGAAGATTGCTTTTGGCCAAAATATTCTTGCGAAAATGTTGTTAATTTGACCGAAATACAATTGCTTAAATAAAGAAAATAAAAGAAACGTACCTCTAGAGGTACAAGAACTTAAGATCGCTTTAGAAACTTTGGTTAGACTTTGTCAACATGATTCCTTTAAAAATAAGATAGAGGCTATAAAGATCAATCAAGTTGAAAACACAAGTGATTTACTATTAAGTCTCGTTCCGTTTTTGTATGCAAACAATATTCTTCAAGTTGGAGGTAGGTTAAGGCACTCTGAATTTTTCTGTAACGAAAAACATCTCATATTGCTACATTCACGGCATCATTTTACCAAACTACTGTTTTCTTTAGAGCACGAACGTCTCTTTCACGGGAGCCCTCAACTTCTTTTGATTACTATAAGGAAAGATTAGTAGCCCTTAGCAAGCAGGAATCTTGCGCGAATAACTGTAAAAAATTGTATCAAATATTTTAAGCTTAACGCTAAAACTATTAAGTTATGTCTGATTTACCCCGGAAACGCGTAAATCCTTCTAACGCATTCACCATAGTGGAAGTGGATTATGCCCTCCCTTTTCAAATGAAAGATAGAAAAAGAAGGGGAAAATATATTGAACAATAATTTATATGGTACAATATATTGATCGTCTGTAGATCATATTTAATGATTGCGCAATATATTGTGTCAATCAACATGACATGATGTTTACGGGCTAAGGCTATTAATTGTTTGGACTCATTAAGTTTTCTTGCATTATTTTTTGTGGTCCCTCGTTTGTGAGCTGCTGTAAAGAAAAAAAACATTTATTTAATTTTTGTTTAGTAGTGATAAGTTTGTATATTAACAATTGTATTTGTAGTTGACAACAACAGAAACTGAATGGAAAGCTATTGCCAATGGATTTAATTTTCAATGGAATTTTCCTAATTGCCTAGGAGCTGTAGGTGGAAAACATGTGACGATGAAAAAACATCTACATATATGCTCATATTATTACAATTACAAAAAGTTTTTTTTAGTATTGTAATGATGGCAGTTGTAAATAGCAATTATGAATTTACGAGGATAGATTGATATTAAACTAGCTTTTGATAGATGGCGCTACTTGAGACCGAATTGGTTTCGGTGTTGACATTTGCCATTAATGACATGACGTCAAAAAGCATAGCCATCAAAAAGCAAGCAGATTTTGTGTTTTCAGAGAAATGGAAAAAGTCGAGTATCATTCGGTGACGTTTCTCCACACAAAGAGTAAAACGAATGTGCAAATCAAAGCCGACCTAGACAAAGTTTATGGTGAGGTTGCACCTTCGTTAGCAACAGTAAAATTTTGGAAAGCTGAATTTGTTCTTGATCGTACGAGTGTTTTTAATAATTGGTGTCGCGGGATTCCAACTGAAGTCACCACGGCGGAAATGATCAACAAAGTCCATATCATGATTATGGCAGATCGTCGAATTAGGCTCCGCGAGTTAATATAGGTCCTTAAAATTTCCTACGAATACGTACACAATATCATTTACCATAATTTGGACATAAAAAATCTATCTGCGCGATGGGTGCCGCGTTTGCTGACAATCGATCAAATGCAAAAACGTGTGACCCCTTCGGAGACGCTTTTGGCGATGATACGACGCAATCTGAAGGATTTTTTTCGCCGATTTATGACCTTTGATGAAACCTGGGTACATTAGTACACACCGGAAAATAAAGAACGGTCGAAACAGTGGCGCAAATGCGGCGAAGGGCCGCTGAAGACGACAAAGAGTGCACATTTGGCCGGCAAAGTGATGGCGACTGTTTTCCGGGATGCAAAGGGCATCATTTAGATTGACTACTTGGAAAAATAAAAAACAATCAATGGTGAGTACTACGCAGCATTATTGGATCGATTCGATGCCGAATTGCGTCGAAAACGCCCAGGTTTGGAACTCAAAAAAGTGCTCTTTCACCAAGACAATGTACCGGCTCACCGATCTGCCGTCACATGGCAATATTACACGATTATTACACAAAGGCAATTAAGCTATGAATTAGTTGAACAACCACCGTGTTCCCTAGATCTTGTCGCCAGCGATTTTTTCCTGTTTCCAAACCTAAAAAAATGGCTCGAAGGACGCCGTTTCGTAACAAATGATGAAGTCGTCGCTGAAACTTCGGCTTATTTTAAAAAGCTTGAGCAAAAGTACTATTTGGATGAAATAAAAAAAAAATGGAACATCATCTTACTAAGTGTATCAAGCTAAAGGGGGACTATGTTGAGAAATAAATCGATTTAATCCAAAAAAACTTGTTTCTTCTATCCAAGGCTAGTTTTATATCAATCCACCCTCGTATTATGGCAGATGCAGGAATCAATGGACGAATATCAGACGGAAGTGTTTTGAATTATACTTCATTCGGAAAAGCATTATCAGATAAATCACCTA